GTGCTTGGAAGTGGAATGAAGACATCTTTTCCTCTAGGCTAAAGGTTAGCTCCCGATTTCTTCATAAAAATTAACAATCAGGGACCTAACACAACAGCTGCATTAGCTAATTCTCCCCTTGCAAGTGCTGGGATCCCATATGGTCACTGGTTTGTGTCCTGGCTGCCCCACTTCTCATCCAGCTCCCTGTTTGTGGCCTGGGAAACAGTGGAGGACGACCCAAAGCTTTGGGACCCTGCATCAGCCTGGGAAACCTGGAAGAAGCTCCTGGCTGCTGGGTTCGGATCATCTCAGCTCTGGCTGTTGCAGCCACTTGGGGAGTGAACCAGCAGATGGAAGACCTTTCTGTTTCTCCTTCTCTCTAGATCTGCCTTTCCAATAAAAATAAATAAATCTTTAAAAAAGGAAAAAAAATAGAGGTTGATGCTGTGGCACAGCAAGTAAAACCACTACCTGCGGTGCCACATCCCACATCCCATATGGGCTGCTCCAGCTGCCTGCAGTCGTTGGGATTGGACCAGGCAGAAACTAGGAATCTAGAACTCAATAAGTCTCTGACGTGGGTGGCAGGGACCCAGTTACTTGAGCCACCACCTGCTGTCTCCTAGAGTGTATGTTAGCAGAAGTGCTGATTGTAAGTGCAAGAGCCAGGATTGTAAGTGTAAGAGCCAGGACTGGAGTAAGGCACTCCATCATGGGTGCAAGCATCCCAAGTGGCGATAGCTGCTATGCCAATCCCTTGTCCACAGGCAGCCTCTAGAAGTTCTGAACTTCATGCCAGGCTCCTGGCTGGCTGCTGGGGCTCTAGGATCAGTTGGGTATGTTTGTCCTGACCAGGTCAGAGGTGGCACCAGAGGGAGTGTCAGGTGTCAACAGGAAGCTATGCTGTAGTCATGAGCATAGAACACAGCTGTTGAACACAGAGGTCATGGTGAGCAGGGAGGGCTTTCACAGTGGAGGTGACTTCAGGCTGGCCTCCAAGACTGAGGGGATTGTCCCTCTAGGTACCTGTAGAAACTCAAGCAGGAGCTAGCACTGGGGCTGGGGAGGGAGTGGGTGACAGTGGGTGACAGGAGGCCTGATGGGCAGAGGCCAGACCCCAGGACCTTGTTGAGGGCAGAGTCACTGCATTTAGCAGAGATGAAGCACCTATATTTGAATTATTTGAATTTCTGATGAGCTGCAATGCAAATAACTTTTTTTTTTTTTTTTTTTAGTGTAATGCCCCAAACATTTCATGGGTTCTACTTAAAAAAAAAAAAAACCCTTTTGTGTGTTTGAAATGTAAGTGGAATGGGACAGCCTATACTTTATCTGGCAGCCTTCCTTGTGTGCTTGGTTCGCAAAAGAACCAGCTGAAGCGCATATGGGGACAAGTTCTGGGGACTTGCTGGAGCAGGTGGACTTTGCAGAGTAATATGGAAGGTGACACAGGACACGGGCAGGTCAGGTGATGGGCAAGGACAGTCAGTGAGGCAGTTGAGGAGACTGGCGCCATAGCGGAGCTCAGGTGAGGCCAGGGGCCAGCTCAGAGCTGGGTGGGGCCTCTCCCACTGCCCAGGTCAGGTCCTTGCAAGGGTCCTCCCCAGCCAACCGTGCAATAGTGGGAGTCTCTGCATCCGGGTCTAGCCTACTGCAAAGGGCCACAGCTCAAAGATGAGGGTGTAAGAGAGAGAGAGCAAGGGTAGCAAGCATAGACCAGAAATGGAAAGGAAAGGGCAACAAGACTGAAAGGTATCCAGGGATGCTGAGGAGAGGGGTGGCTGTTTGAGGGTCCCCTACTGAACAGAACCCAGGATTCCTGTGTGGAGTACTAGACCCGGCGCAGGCTGACCTCATGTCCCTCATTTTTCTGGTACGTCTCCCCTCCTCCCAGGCACCAGCCACACAGGTGTCTTATCGGCAGTCACCCTATGTTGAAGGTGCTCAATGCCTTCTTGTTGCTTTGAGCACTTTACATCTTGGACTTGGGGGACCCTTGTTAGGAACTCTGTGATGTGGCTGCTAATGCTGTCCCAATTACGTGTTGCAGGCATCAGACTTTAGGTCAGACAGCCTTGAAGGCCCCTCCCATCCCTCAGCCAGCAGGGGCCCCTGGGAATCCTGCTGCCTGGGAGGAAAGTCTGTAGGATTAACCTCAACACCACCCTCTTCCCTAGCCACAGGCCGCACTGCCAGGTATCTGTAACACAAACTGGGTCCCCAACAGCTCCGCAGTGAAGCCCATCCGGAGGCCCAACACAAATCATTTTGTCTCTTTGTCATGATAATGAATACTTTTCAGTTGTAATTATACATCTTTCTGCTTCTTCACCTGATCGGTGCCCTTCTAAATATATGTATATGTACACACATACTTATGTATGTTTCAAAACATTGATTTTATTTATTTGCAAGGCAGAATTACATAGAGAGAGAGAGAGAACCATCCACTTGTTCATTTCCTACATGGCTGTAACATCCAGGGTTGAGCCAGGTTGAAGCCAAGAACTTCTTAGTGGTCTTCCATGTGGATGTGGGTGGCAGGGGCACAAGCACTTGAACTGTTTCCTGCTGCTTTCACAAGTTCATTATCAAGTGGAACAGCCAAGACTCGAACTGGTCCCCATATGGGATGCCATGTTGCAGGCATGTGGCACCTACTATCCCATAGCGCAGGCCCCTGGGGGACCTTTTTCACAGTCTCTAAACCACCCAGCACAGGGCCTGACCCAGAATGGAGGCTCAGTAAACAATCCCTGAGTAACCCAGGTCCCTGGGCAGCTTTGATACTCACTTGTGTCCTAACTGGATCCTCAGACCCAGCATGGAGAGAGAGGCGTCTGTTGATTGAGTCTTTGGAAACACAGAACTAAAGTGAGTCTGAAATGTTTCTGATTTTTGACCACAGAGCTAAGAAAATCCAAAGTCAGCAGACTGGAAAAGAACTCTCAGTATTCAACAAATGCCAACGAGCTAGAGCCAGACTGAACAGAGGGAGGGATTGAGTGCTGGTGTCTGAGAAATGATGGATGTGCCTAGGCCATCCCTGGATTCTATTCTCTTTCTTAGTCTTCCTGACACTCCCCGTGGAGGTGCTGGATCCCTGTGTCAGAGTGACAGGTGTCACTCAGGCCCCTGTCTGACCTGAGGAGGAGCAGGATACACACAGAGGCCTGCCTGCAGAGTGCCTGCTCCTCCTTCTACATCCAGGAAAGAGGAGGCTTAGGGAAGCACGAGCCAGGTCTTGTTCTCCAGGAGCCGGGCTGTCCTGGGGACTGAGTCCTGGGGGTGTGGGCATCAGGGGTTTAGAGGAGAGGCTGGTCTCATGGGCTGGGGCATCCTGGGTTGGTAGGGAAGAGGCCTGGGGCATCCAGGGGAGCAAGTGAGTGAAGGTGTGCAACAGGTCACATCCATGGCAGCACCCATCTGCTGGGGAGGGGGCCAGAGCTGCCATCAGGGCTGTGCTAGAGAGGCTCAGTCTCCTCTTGTCAGGGTTCGCTCCTGAACAGCAGATGTATTATCATTATCAGTTAAGTTCTCCTGTCCCTCATCAGAAATCCTAGTGCCAGGGCTGGCATTGTGGCATAGTGGATTAAGCCAGTGCTTGTGAAGTCATCCTTCCGTGTGAGCACCACATTGTGTCCTGGCTGTTCCAGTCCCCATTGAGCTCCCTGCTAATGTGCCTGGGAAAGCAGCAAGGATGGCCCATGTGCTTGGGCCCTGTACCCATGTGGGAGACCCAGGAGAAACTCTTGGTTTTAGACAAGGCCAGCTATGGCTGTTGCAACCATTTTGGAAGTGAACCAACAGATGAAAGATCTTTCTCTCCGTTTCTGTAATGCTAACTTTCAAATAAATAAATCCTCGAAAATATCCTAGTGCCAAATAAGTCTCAGGATTCTGATGATCTTTCTTGATTTCATTTTTTGAATATTCATTTATTTGAAAGGCAGAGTGACAGAGAGAGGGAGATCTGCTGGCTCACTCCCTAAATGGCAGAAACAGCCACATCTGATCCAGGTTCAAGCCAGTAGCCCGGAACTCCATCCGCATGTCCCACATGGGTGTCAGGGATCCTTGGGCCATCACCCACTGTCTTCCCAGATGCCTTGGCAGGGAGCTGGATCAGAAGCAGAGTAGCCAGGACTCCTAGGATACTTGTGTCACAAGCAAGTGGTGGCTTAACTCAGTAGGTGACACTGCTGGCCCCTCTTTTCAATTTTAGAGTGATTCTCACCTGCTGTGGTAACATGATGAAGCCAGCTTGTGCAGAGGCCTCTCTCGGGCCCAAGGGGCATCTGTCTCTGTTACAAGGCTCAGGGCAAACTCCAGCCTGAGGTAGGGCCATTATGGGTGTCTCTGTGACTGTCCTTGCTAATCCTTGCCTTCAAAACTGACAGCTCAGTTAGAGATGAGGACATACCTCCAGCAGGAGAGGTGCTGCTCTGCCTCTGTGCCAGAGCCCCATTTGCCCCAGGAGCTGGGCTGTTCCAAGTATCCACCACACAGGTGCCAGGGTAAACCTGAGCTCCCCACCACCCTGCAGGTGCAATGCCTCCCAGGCTAGATGGTAGGTTGCACATTTCCCATGCACTGTGTAGCCGGCTTACTCGTCTCCAGGGGCATGGTTAACAGCAAATGAACAGCTTCTCATGCCAGAAGACAAGGGCTTAGTTCGCCCTTAACCACAGGTGCATCCACCATGTCATCATGGGTAATACTTTTCTCAAGGAGGGTGGAAAATGCATGGTCATAACAGAAAGTAGCTGAGTGAAGACTAAACAAGCCTCACGTTGGCACAAGCCAGGTTCTGTACCACATGAGTTACAAGATAAACCTTTCAGAGTTCTGGTTTTTAGCATTAAGGGTTAGTCGGAGTGGGTGTGATGAACAGAATGTTTTGGGAAAATATTTGTTGGGGAAAAGTGCAAGTTGCCTTCATCACCACACCACCAGAGGGCACCAGGTCACCATGATCACTTGGATGTTCACTGATGGAGGTTGTCCCCTGGCTTCAGCTTGCAGATGCCAGCAGGTTACCCAACCTGAAAGAACTACTGCAGTCCTCGGGAGACCATGACAGGCGGGCCTGGGACCTGGTGAGCTGGATCTTGTCCTCCAAGGTCCTAACGATCCACAGTGCCGGCAAGGCAGAGGTGAGACTGGGTTCTGGGACTGTGCCAGATGTGCCCCAAGTGCTGAAAATGCTGAGTTCCGGGCCTTACCCTGAGAACTGGGTTATGCCTCTTAAGAAGGTTATTGCATGCATGAGGGAGAAGGAGAGAGAGATAGCTTCTGTCCACTGGTTCACTCCCCAAATGGCCACAACTGCTGGAGCTGAGCTGATCCAAAGCCAGGATCTAAGAACTTCTTTTCAGTCTCCCACATATGTTCAGGGTCCCAAGAACCAGAGCCATTCTCTGCTTCTGTCCCAGGTTACAAGCAGGGAGCTGGATGGGAAGTGGAGCAGCCAGGACACGAACTGGTGCCCAAATGGGATGCTGGTATTTGAGAGTGGAAGATTAGCCTGTTGAGCCAAGGTGCCAGCCCCTTGGCTGCTTAAATTTTTTTTTAAAGATTTATTTATTTTTATTGGAAAGATTGATAGAGAGTAGGAGAGGCAGAGAGAAAGATCTTCTACCTGCTGGTTCACTCCCCAAGTGACTGCAATGGTTGGAGCTGAGCTGATCTGAAGCCAGGAGCCAGGAGCCAGGAGCTGCTTCTGGGTCTCCCATGCGGGTGCAGGGTCCCAAGGCTTTGGGCCATCCTCTGCTGCTTTCCCAGGCCACAAACAGGGAGCTGAATGGGAAGTGGAGCAGCTGGGATTAGAACCGGTGCTCATATGGGATCCTGGTGCTTATAAAGCAAGGGCTTTAGCCACTAGGCTACCGCACCAGGCCCTTTAAAAAGATTTTAAAGTTCATTTGAAAAGCACAGTGACAGAAATAGAGATCTCAGATCCACTGGTTTGCTCTTCATGTGGTCACAATAGTCAGGGCTGGTCCAGGCCAAAGCCAGGAGCCTGGAACTTCATCTGGATCTTTCATGTGGGCGGCAGGGACCCAAGTAATTAGGTCATTTCCCACTGCTTTCTCAGGTGCATAAGCAAGGAGCTGGATCAGAAGTGGAGCAGACAAGACTTAAACTGGCACCCAAATAAATGCCTGTGGCGCAAGTGGTGGCTTAACCCACTCTTCCACAACACTAGCCCTGGATCTTTTATTTTTGGGTCTCTGCCATGTTGTGGATGTCAGGTCATGTTGGCCAAGCCCAGATTCAGGCAGTGGAGAAACCAGCCATCTGTTAATGGAATCTTGGTGACATGTGCCCTGATGGACAGGAGTTCAGGCCAGCATTTATGGCCATTTTTGTACTTTGTCACACCTTCCTGTCCCATGAGATCATTGTAAAGGTAGGATACAGAAAATAGATGAAAGTATTGGGAATATGAACGGTGAGCTTGCTTATACATTAATGTTGCCATGGTTACCTGTTCTCATGAGAACTAGTCCAGGGCTTTGGGATGTAACTTTTTTAAAAAAAGATCTATTTATTTTTATTGCAAAGTCAGATATACAGAAAGGAGGAGAGACGGAGAGGAAGGAAGATCTTCTGTCCATTGATTCACTCCCCAGGTGTCCGCAATGGCTGTTGCTGCTCAGAAAAGTAGCCAGGAACCCATAGCCTCTTCCGGGTTTCCCATGTGGGTGCAGGGTCCCAAGGCCCTGGGCTGTCTTTGACTGCTTTCCCAGGTCACAAGCAGGGAGCTGGATGGGAATCGGGGCTGCCGGGTTTAGAACTTACGTGGCTCCCATATGGGATCCTGACATGTGCCAAGCGAGGACCTTAGCTGCTAGGCTATCATGCTGGGCCTGGGAGGTCATTTTTGTGACACATTTTCCAGCTGCTCAGGTCAAACAATGATTCCTTTTACGTTTTTAAGTTTGAAAAGATCCAGAAGCTGACTGGGGCCCCTCACACACCTGTCCCTGCCCCGGACTTCCTGTTTGAAATTGAGTACTTCGACCCAGCCAATGCCAAATTTTATGAGACCAAAGGAGAACGAGACCTGTTCTACGCCTTCCATGGCAGCCGCCTTGAAAACTTCCATTCCATCATCCACAATGGGCTGCACTGCCACCTGAACAAGGTAGGGTGGGGATGGTGATGGAGGTGGTGATAGAGGCCGGGGAAGGGTGCGGGTGGGTAGGCTGACAGTGGCCTCGCCATTGCAGTGTGGCCAGCAGGCTGGTATTAGTTAGAGCCTTGAGAACACAGTGTCCTAGCTTACCCTGGACCTGAACCAGAACCTGTGTCATTCCAAGGTCATCATGACCTTGAAGCATCCATTTCAGTAGCAGTCCCAGCCTTGGCTGTCCATGTGGAATCCCATGGGGAAATAAAAAAAAATCCTACCCAGGATGGGGGTGAGAGGCTGACCGCCTGAGTCTCCCTGGCAGTGGGGCCCAGATGTGACTTTGCCTTCGGTGGGGGAGGGAGTCCCAGTGTATAACTTGCCCAAGCTGCTAATGGAGTTCCCTGTCAGAGGCACCTGTGTCCCTGGGGAGCTTGTCAGGAATGCACAGGCCCACGCTAGTCCACTCCTGGAGGCTCACATGCATGGTGCCATCAGAGCAGCTTCCACTATTGGAGTGCTCCAGGGTCCAACATCGGGGTCCCAGGGCGAGGTCCTCCCCCACAGCCTAGGCCCCCTTGAGCTGCTTTCCTCCCAGTTTTAGGAATCCAGGTTGTCCAGCGCCTGCTTGCTGCTGACACTGCTTTACCCCTGGGTCAGATGTGGAAGGAAGATGACAGGCTGTGGAGTGGCAGAGATGTAGATGACTCTGTGGCTCGGGCGTGTTGACTTAAGCTCTGTGAGCCTCAGTTTCCTCATCTGTAAAATAAGATGCCATGACTTGCCCTGTGGTGGTGGGAGGCTTGAAATGGAGCATGTATGCACAGGCTTCTTCGTGTACCCGAGCCCACCGGAGGCATGGCAGCTGTTGGGGGTAGGGGTGGACCAGGGTATCCAGGAGCTGTGGAAGGGCTGCCTGCCTTCGCTTATATTGTGGAGGAGACCAGCGGAGCCCTAGGCTCAGTTGTAGCTAGTGCCATCCTGGGGTCACAGGGAGAGACATTTCCCCACATCTCATCGGAGTTTGCTGTTACCATGGCCAGCCTGCTGACACCTAGGGACCTCCATGTCTCCTGAAGTTGCCTGGGGCAGCTGTAGGCAGTTCATGGGGTTGGGTACCTGGTCTGTACTGTGGCACCTCAGGAAGCCTGGCATCTGCTAAGAGCCACCCATCCCCTTCAGGTCCCTGGGCCGGGTGAGGAGGCTTATTAGAGGGATCCCACCTGCATCTCTGAAGGTGTGATCTTGTTCTCGTGGTGTGGACAGCCCATGTGTCCCACCAATAACCTTGCACAAGATTGCCTGGGTCTGGGGAGGGATGAACACCTGGCAGACCCAGGCACAGAGCTTGGATGTGGGGTCAGGAGAGAGGGAGCCCTGTGTCCTGGGAGAGGTCTGTGTCAACTGGTGAGGGGTGGGGGTGCTACCTCCCCTGGCAGGGAGCTTCCCAGAGGTTAAGTGATGGAATTGTGGAAACTGGTGCCAATGAGTGAGACTGTTGTCAGTACCCCAACACAGGGTGTACTTTGGTGAGCTCTTCCAGTTTACTTATCACTTCAAGACACTGGAACTGTTGCTTAGAGCTAAAGGTTGATTTCAGACTGAATGGAAAGCCCAGGCATTGTCAGCAGCTGCCTAAATGTTATGTTGAGAAGGACACTGTGTCAGCTTGGCCAGGTGCCACGTGACTGATATGATAACGTTGGCCATTGCTGTGATTGTTGTTGTCTACCATGAGCAAAGCCTGTGGTTGCTGCACCTGCTGTAGTTTCCACTTGTAATTCCTTCACCTTGCACGCTTCTCTGTTTCTATTAAGATTTCTTAGGCCTGGCCTAGTGGCTGAAGTCCTTACCTTGCACGCCCAGGATCCCATATGGGCGCTAATTTTAATCCTGGCGGCCCTGCTTCCCATCCAGCTCCCTGCTTGTGGCCTGGGAGAGTGGTTGAGGACAGCCCAAGGCCTTGGGACTCTGTACCCATGTGGGAGATTTGGGGTAGGCTCTGGGCTCCTGGCTTCAGATTGACGCAGCTTTGGCCATTACAGCCACTTGGGGAGTGAATCAACAGATGGAGGATTTTTCTCTCTGTCTCTCCTCCTCTCAGAATATCTGACTTTCCAATAAAAATCTTTGAAAAAAATTTCTTTATTTACTTGCAAGGCAGATAGGGGTGGTGGTGGAGGCAGCAGGAGAGATTCCATCTGCTGCTTCACTCCCCAAATAGCTGCAACTGCTAGAGCTGTGCCAAGCTAAAGCAAAGGATCAGGGACTCATCTAAGTCTTCTGCATAGGGGGCAAGAGCCCAAGTACTTGGGCCATTTGCTGCAGCCTCCCCAGGTACGTTAGCAGGAAGCTGGATCAGAAGCTGAATGTTGAAAATCAGGGCCTGGAGCTGGCACTCCAGTGTGAAATGCTGGTATTGCAGGTGGAGCTTAATTTGCTGCATTGCAGTGTTGGCCCATAACATGCTTTTTCATGGTGGGTACCAAGTTGGCCTGTGCCAACTTGTTGCAATATCAAGTTGGTACCAAGTACTTGGTGGATACTGGTTTAGCATTTTGTTGGTCAACACCAGCACAAAGAGTGAAACAGAGCCTGCCTTTTGCAGAGCGCTCCCTTGTTTAGTTACAGCGTCTGCTTCTGACTCACGCCTTTTCCAAGGAAGGACTCAGAGTCCCTCTCTCTCACAAGGGTTAACTCCCTCGCTGCACGCAAAGCTGTTCCTGTCCCTGTGCTCAGTGCCATTCACATCCCAAGAATTGCAGCATCATTTCACACAGAGACCCTGTCTCTCACGTGCGCACCATGCCTAGAGTCTTGCTGGATATCCTATGCCCATGTCTCATGTCACCTTTGGCCACGACTTAGGAAGGAAAGACTGTTACCCCTCTCTTGTGGATGCAGAGCCTGAGCCAGCAAGGGTTTATGTAATTGCCAGCTGTGGGATTGAAGCTGAGGCCTGTTTGGATGATGATGCCTATGTTTTTCCCATTCAGCCTTGACCACAGGGAACTGCTAATTTGCCAGACCAGGTGGCCAAATGCATAGTCAGTCCAACCACTGTCAGATGGGAATGTACTCAGTAAGAGTGCCATGAGGATGCCCCAGGTTGTTGGCACCCACATCTTGTTGGGAACAAAAAGGAGTCGAACTGTTCTATTTACAACTTGGTGGGAATCTTCTCGTAGTGTTGGTACTCGCCATTCACCTGGCTGTGTCTCTTCTCTGTCGGCCTCTGCCATTTCAGACATCCTTGTTTGGAGAGGGGACTTATCTCACCAGTGACCTGAGCCTGGCCCTCATCTACAGCCCCCATGGCCATGGCTGGCAGCGCAGCCTTCTCGGCCCCATCCTTAGCTGTGTGGCCGTGTGCGAGGTCATTGACCATCCGGATGTTAAGTGCCAAACCAAGAAGAAGGGTGAGTGAGCGCACAGCCCAGCCATTGGGTGGAGCACCTGTTGGTACCCAAGGGTGGGTGAGGTCAGAGCAGTGCAGGACAAGAGGACAGGAGCCTGCCTTCCAGGAGGGGAGTCTTCACAGGGGTTGAACACACCACAGGAAAGACCACAGAACAACTGGATGGGTAGGGAGGGCCTGGGGAGAGGCTGGTGAGGTTTGTGGGGATCATTCAGAGCAAGGACCCATCTTGTGTGGTCAGGGTGGTCAGGGAGAGCTGTAGGGAGGAGGCAAGAGTTCAGTAATGAACAGGAGAGTGACATTGTGGCCTAGTGGGTAAAACCACTGCCTAGGACACTGGCATCCCATATGGGTGCCAGTTAATATCCTGTCTAGTCCACTTTCAGTCCAGCTTCATGCTAATTGCCTGGGGAATATAGCAGAACATGGTCCAAATGCTTGGACCCGTGCACCCATATAGGAGACTTTGGTTTCTGACTTCTGCTTGGCCCAACCCCAGATACTCTGGCCATGTGAGGAGTGAATCAGTGGATAGAAGATTTTTCTTTCGCTGTTTCTCCCTCTCCCTCTGTAATTCTGAATTCCCTCTAAATTATTTATTAAAGATTTATTTATTTTGATTTGAAAGGCAGATGTACAGAGCGGAGAGACAGAGACAAAGATCTTCCATTTGGGTTCTCTCCCTAAATGCTCACAATAACCAGAACTGAACCAATACAAAGCCATGAGCTTCTTCTGGGTCGCCAGGTAGATGCAGGGTCTCAAGTACTTGGGCTGTCTTCTTATGCTTTCCTAGACCATGAGCATGGAGCTGGATGGGAAGTGGAGCACCCAGGACAGGAACCAGCACCTATATGGGATTCTGGTGTTTGCAAGGGGAGAATTAGCCAATTGAGCCATCATGCTGGACTCATATAAATGAATCTTTAAATAAATAAATGATGGGCAGGGATGGTGAGACCAGAGCATGGGCTTCTTTGGGCGTGGAATTTCGTCTTAGGCCCCTGGAGAGGCGACTCTGTGTGCAGCCAGAGAACCAATAATGGAGCAGATGTCTCAGCAGAGAAAGCGTCTGGAATGTACTTGTCAGTCAGTAGATGCCAGCCTAACACTACACACACTGGTGGAGATGCTGTGAGCTGCTCAGGCACATGCTGGAGCCCCTGGGGCAGAGGCGTGGGGAGAAGCTGAGGCCAGAGAAGTCAAGGCTGGGCTCTCTAGGGAGTGGTGATAAAGCTGGCCATGTTGTCTCTACCTCACTTGTGTGTCCCTGACACATGCTCCCTGTTGTGCTGCTACAGTTGTAGATCCGACATCCTGTCTCCAGAGGAGGCCTCTTGGTCAGTCTGAGATGAGGAGGTAGAAAGCTGCCTGGCACAGCCTCTATTATAAAGTAATTTGGCATCCCGAGTGCCTAGGTCTGGCACCGTCTTCCCGGGCCAGATGCCTGTATCCTTAGGAGGTTTGCAAACTGTGAGATGAGCCAGCCCAGGGAGGTCTTGCTGCCCCTGCTGCCATAAGCAGGCAGCCTCAGCCTTTGTGGTTTTATGGGTTCCTTGTTTTGTTTTTAAGATTTATTTATTTTTATTTGAGAGGCAAAAATACAGAGACAGAGAGAAGGAGAGATAGAGAAAGGTCTTCCATCCACTGGTTCACTTTCCAAATGACTGCAACGGCCAGAGCTAAACTGAACCAAAGCCAGGAGCCAGCAGCTTCTCCTAGGTCTCCCATGTGGGTACAGTGGCCCAACGATTTGTGCCATTTTCCAGTGCTTTCCCAGACACATGAGCAAGGGAATTGATAGGATGAGAAACAACTGGGACTCAAACAGGTACACTTTTGGGATGTTTGTGTCACAGTTAGAGGCTTAACTTGCTACACTACAACATTAGCCCTGGTTTTCTAATTTTTAAAGCAATCTTGGTAGGAAGGGTGGAAAGTGAGTGTCCTCAGGAACTCATATCCTGAGTGGTTGGTTTGCACCTCCACCTGAAGGGGTCTTTTCCAGGTGAGGCCTGTTCCTAGGTTCTAGCCACAGAGCAATTCATTGACTTCTTCCCTCTGCTTTCCCTCCACTCATCTGTGCCCCTTTCTTTGTGCCCCTTTTGTTTTCCTGATATTTTTTTCTTCCTCCCTTTTTTCTTTCTGCTGTGGTCTCCTGGCAGTAGTGCTGTGTCACATCTGAGGAATCTTCTGAAAGTTCATGCAAAGTACGTATTCTAAACCAACCATGGGAGCAGGTATTTGGTGTGGCAGGGTAAGGCCCTGCTTGGGATGCTTACATCCCAGAGTAGAGACCCAGGTTCAAGTCCCAGCTCTGCTTGCAGTTGAACATCCTGCTGATGCACACCAGGGGAGGCAGCAGGTGAGGCTTCAAGTACTTCAGTCCCTGCCAACCACTGAGAGACCCGGATTAAGTTTCTGGCTCTTGGCTTCATCTGGCCCAACCCTGGCTAAAATTAGGAAGCATTTGGGAAGTGAACCAGTACATAGTACATCTCTCTCCATCTATCTTTGTGCTTTTAAAGCAAAATAAAGTTTGAGGTTCATTTTCCATGAATTTGATTTTAAATTGCCTGCACAGCCTGTTCTTCAGCCTGCAGGGCCTGTTCACCCTTGAGGCTGGAGGCTTGCTGCCTTCTTTGTCATCCTGGTCCTCTTTGGTGATTGTGTCCTCCCCTCTCCTCATTCAGATACCAAGGAGATAGACCGCCGAAGGGCAAGGATCAAACACAGTGAAGGGGGAGATATCCCACCCAAGTACTTCGTGGTCACCAATAACCAGCTTCTGCGAGTGAAGTACCTGCTGGTGTACTCACAGAAGCAGGCCAAGAGGTAAGAAGGACTGGAGACCGTATATATGCAGCATGGTCAGCGTGCTTTCCCATCAGCCTCAGGCCTGCACTATGCAAAGTGTATACAGTGCTGTCCAGACACTGTTGGGGAGTATGAGGCAGGGAAGATGTGATCCTGACCCGCTAAGGACTGAATATTCTAGGGAAGAAGAGAGATTGGTAAACATCAGTAGCATAGGAGACCACCCCTAACAGAAGTGCCACTCAGCCAAAAGACTCATGACCATGGTCCTAAAACCATTGATACGTTCAGGTTGAGAGGCAGGGAGTGGTGGACCCCTGGCCGCAGGGGCTGTTGAGTCAGCATCTGCCCCTCTCTGGTCCCAAGCTGCTTCAGATCACCTCTAAGGTCAGGGTGTTGCACCAGCAGCAGGTAAGGGTCTGCAGCTCTCAGGAACCACAGTTGGAGCTGGTCCCAGCTCAGCAGCATGGTAGCATGGTAGCGAAGAACAGTGGGGTTCTCACAATGGAGGGTCACCTTGAGGTCTTGCTGTACTGTGGGAGTCCACGTCAGGGATGCTAGTGGGGATGGGCAGCAGGTGGCCCGGTGCGATAGCAGAAGGGTGTTATTTAATAATCCTCACTTCTCTGTTTCTGAGTTTCATGGACCAGCAAAACATCAGCCCCTCACTGCGCAAATTTAAAAATGTATAAAGGATTCTTGGCCAAGTATGAGTATGGGTGTGTGTGTGGGCGGGGGGATGGTGGTGTTATCCCTTAGGTTAAAGTCATTTGGCATTTTCTAACTTGGGAATTCCATTCCTTGCCTGCTTCTTCCCTGGTGTCTGTGTGTGATGCACACTTGAATGGTTGAGGTCAGCTCCTTACTGGGCCAGCTTGGAATTTTGTCTGTCTGTGTGTCTGAAAGCAAAAAGACTTTTTTTCCCCCTTGGGGACCTGTCACCTGCCACTATTTGGGCAAAGACCCTGAGCTAGGTCAGCCCTCCAGACAGTAAAGTCTTGCATAACACAAGACTGGATACAGAAAGTATCAGGGGGAGGGAAGTGGAAAGAGAGGGGCTGAGCTCATTGCATAGCTGTCTTTGTGCAACTAGAAAATGTTCTGTTGAAAGGCACGTCAGTGCCAGGACAAGCGGCCCTGGATTTCTCAGGCCAAGGAGCACAAAGCTTCATGTCATGGCTCATGTAGAGGATGGAATTCATCCTTTCATCTTCCCTGAGCCAAAGCTTGTTGCCTACACTTTGAAGAGAAGATGTTTTTTTCTCTTTTTGGCCCAATACCACTCTTTTTTCCCCCCTCCATCAGCAGGGCTTCAAGCCAGCTCTCCTGGGTTTCCAGCCATTGGTTCACGGTGATGATAACCCTTTACCTGCTGCTGCTACTCATAGTGAGCATCATCAACTCCTCGGCATTCCAGCACTTCTGGTATCGCTCCAAGAGATAAGCTCTTGGGGCCTGGCGTTGCGGGGACCACCTCCACCGTGTGCCTTACTGAGAATGATTGCCCCTCCCCTCGTCCAGCCAGGTTAGAGCCTGGGGGGGCTAGCCCCTCTAGGAAGGCGGGACACAGGACCATCTTTGAGTGACATTTGCTTTGACCATGCCTCCAGCCATGCTCAGCTGGGAACTGCCAGCCCCTCACTCTGAGTTTTCATGGGGGAGCCCTGTCATTGGCTTCTTCTGAAATGGTCTGAGGGAGTTGCTTTTCAGCCAGGGCCGAAGGAAGAAGTCCTGCTGCGTTTGGAAAACAGTGTGTCCAGGCTGTCAGTGGCGTGTTTACAATCGCTCCTGGAGGAGGCTGGCCTTCTCTAATGCTTTCTGGAAGGTATAAAGTGCGTAGTGGGGACTATCAATCACTGGGCAGTTGCCTTGTTTTGACTCCACAGTCATGTTTCTCATAAAAGACAGCAGGCTTAGTTTTGAATTCCATCAGCCTTTTGTGTGTGAGTGCAAAGCATTTTCACGGTTTTTCTCAAGTCAACAAATGGCCCCCTGCTGCAGCTGTTGCCTGCTCCCTCTCATGCAAGCTGAGGACGGCACAAGGAAGGGGACCCAGCCACAAACCACTCGAGGCGCCATCGTCTTCTAAAAATTAATCAACCAAATTACAGCTGAGATGGAATCCAATGTTTGCTGATTTTGGTTTTTTTTTTTTTTTCAACCACTACATGACAACTTTGTGAACCAAGCAAAAGGGGAAATTGCTTAACTGAGAGCTCCATCTGGCCAGCATCCATGGTTTGCTTTCTGGCTGTGTCTTGGAGAGATGATTTGAGTGACAGGCTTGCCTCCTGTTCTTGTCCTCACAAAGCTGCCTTGACTGTGGCCTGTGGCCCTAGTGTCCACGTTGCAGGCCCTCAGAGGCTGCTGGACTTTGAGACGAGGCCTGGCTTGGTGTGCCACAGGTCCTCACGGATCAAGGGACTCTGTGGCCTGGGTCTTTGGGCGTTAGGAGAAGCTCCTGCTTGCCCAGAGAGCCACAGCCCTGTTCACTGAGTTCTTTGCCTTCTTCCCGGGAAGTTTTGGCTGCTGTGGAGCCCTGTTTGATTTTGGGTGAAGTTTCCGTAATGAAGGGGGAAATAATTTTCTATAATTTGTAAGGTTGTGCAAAAGCCACTGTAATGAATTTTACATTGAATATTGGAGCATTTAAAACATAATAAAAGTATTTTCCTAATGACCACATTTTCCTGTTTTTTTTTTAGATGTATTTATTTTACTTGCAAGTCAGAATTACAGAGAGGAAGAGACAGAGAGAGATCTTCCACTCACTATTTCATTCCCTAAATGGCTGTAATAGCTAACGTTGGGCAGATCTGGAGCCAGGAACCAAGAGCTTCTTCCAGGTCTCCCATGTGGGTACATAGGCTCATGGACTTGAACCTTCCTCCACTGCTTCCCTAGACCTAAGGCAGGAAGCTGGATTGGAAGTGGAGCAACCATGAGCCAGTGCCCATACGGGATACTGGTGCCACAGGTAGAGGCTTAGCGTACAATGCTTTGGCGCTGGCCCCTATTCATCTTGTCTTCGCTTTTCTTCCTTCATTCAGGTAGCTTAAGCTGGAGAGTGTCATCAGGCAGGATCCATGTCAAGATGCCTGTGTCCTTGGAGAGCTGACAGTCCATGGGGCGGGAGGAATAAGCATTTTAGGAAGGAGTTTTGGGGGCCAGGTGTCGTGGTTCAGCAGGTGAAGCTAACACGTGGGATGGCTACATTCCATATCAGAGGGGCAGTCTTTACCACTTCAGGTCCAACTCGCTGCTAATGCAGCTGGGAGGCAGCAGACGGGAGCCCAAGTGCCTATACCCTGCCTCCTGCATGGGAAACCCAGCTAGAATTCTTGGCATCTGGCACCTGACTTTGGCATGGCTCAGCCTTGGCTGCTGTTGAATGGAAGATCTCTTTGTGTTTCTCTCACTGTGCATTTTGAATTAATGAAAACAAACAAACAAACATTTATTTATTTATAATGATTTATTTATTTATTTATATTGGAAAGGCAGATATACAGAGAGGAGGAAAGATAGGGAGGAATATCTTCCGTCAGATGATTTACTCCCCAAGCAACCACAATGGCTGGAGCTGAAACAATCCAAAGCCAGGAGCCCATATCCTCTTCCTGTCTCCCATGTGGGTGCAGGGTCCCAAGGCTTTGGGCCGTCCTTGACTGCTTTTCCAAGGCCACAAGTAGGGAGCTGGATGGGAAGCAGGGCCCCTGGGATCAGAACCAGTGCCCATATGGGATCCTGGAGCATGTTCAAGGGGAGGACTTTAGCTGCTAGGCTATCACACCAGGCCCAACATTTTATTTAAAAAGGAGTTTTGGGGAAATACTTGGCCATGAGTCCTAGTGTGATCTTAGGTTAGGAGACTCAGAGCTGACTTGCGTAGCCTTGTTGGGTATATGAGTGTTTCAGTCTCCTCGACAGGCTTTATCCTTTTTAACAGACATGCAACTGGGTCCCTAGGGTTAAGTAGCTTTGCCCAAGGTTATACGGCTGGAAAATTCCCGAGCTCAGAATTGAATCTGGTGAATTGGTTTCAGTGTCATTATTGACAACCCCATGTCTTTTGCTCCCTGGAACCTGAGGGGGAATTGATTGTAGGCTGAGAAGTTTTTGACAGGTGTTTTGGGCAGTGCAGCTCTGGCCAGTGAGGGTGAGATGGAAGAGCTCTGCTGAGCTGGAATCTGGAATCTGGAAGATTCGTCTCTGTAAAGTAATTCTTTTTTTTTTTTAAAAAACACAATTCTTTATATGCACACACACACACACACACACACACACATACATAAAACCTGACTGCCAGGCACATTTCGAAAATAAAATTTAGTTTGGGAGGCAGAGAGATATAGAAAGATTCTTTCTTTTTTTTTTTTTTAAGATTTTTTTACTTTTTTTGTTAAAGATTTATTTATTTTTATTGGAAAGGCAGATATGCAGAGAGGAGAGACAGAGAGAAAGATCTTCCGTCCGAGAAAGATCTTCCCCAAGCAGCCACAACAGCTGGAGCTGAGCCAATCCAAAGACAGGAGCCAGGAACTCTTCCGGGTCTCCCACATGGGTGCAGGGTCCCAAGGCTTTGGGCTGTCCTCAATTGCTTTCCAAGGCTACGAGCAGGGAACTGGAAGGGAAGTGGGGCTGCTAGGATTAGAACCGGTGCCCATATGGGATCCTGGAGCATGCAAGGTGAGGACTTTAACCACTACACTATCATGCTGGGCCCAGAAAGATTATTTCCATCTGCTGGTTTGCTCCTTAGATGCTGGGGTCGAGTGAAGCTGAGGCCAGGAGCTGAGAACTCAATCCAAATCTCCCTTGTGGGTGGCAGGAATCCAAGAACTTGAACCATCCCTGCTAACTCCCACGCTGTGCAACGGCAGGAAGTTGGAATGGAGCGTGGAGCTGGAACTCAAGTGCAAGCACTCTGACGTGGCATACGGGCACCTTAGCTGGTGTTTCTGATAGGCCAGCTGCGCACCCCCTGGTGAGTTTAGATAAGGTGGAAGGAAACTGTGGAGTCAAGGGTCCTTGTGGGTGGGTGGATGGAAGGACCTAGGCAGGGCCGCAGGATGGTTTCCACGGCTCTGGGCACTTGCCTTTGCGAGCTTCCTTCCCTCTGTGAAAAAGGTATTTAAAATGATTTTATGACTGTATTGGTAAAAATATGAATATGTGAGTATTATGTGCTAAAACATTTTGTTCCACTTAAGAGTTCATTTTTTCCTTTTGTCTCAAAAGGAAATGAAACAGTTTCATAATGTGAGCCTTGGGCACTGTGCCTGCTGTGTCCACTGGATGAGTCAGCTCTAGACCAGGGTGATGTGGGTAGTGTGAGACCCTCTGGGTGCCTGGCACTGTCCAAGCAGGAAAGAGGTAAGGCTGCAGTGAAACTCCCAGTTCTACTTAGTGCCCAGCTGGAGGCTGGTTTGCACAGGCCAGGCAGCTCCAGGGTGAAGAGGTGCAGAGGTAAGACTCCTGCTGCAAGCACACACTCCTCTGGAAGGGCAGGAGGGCCAGTCTCCTCTCGCAGCCCAGTGGCCCACTGGGCCAGGAGCCCTGCCGGGCAGTGGATAACAGATGAGACCAGAAGGTATGAAGTTGCCTACAGCCCTTGATCACTAATGCCGTGGTCAGCTTTGGGAGATGTGGTCTGTGGGTCCCTTTCAGGTGAGGTAGCTGCTTCTGGGAGCCACCCAGAATCCCAGGAAACAGTTTGCACTACAGAGAGCAGGAGTCTGACTGTGGTCAGGTGGTTTCAGACAAGTGCACAGGTACATACAAGAGAATTGTGGATCTTGAATGCCATTCAAGATCATTTGTGACAATTTCATTGTATGCTGACCGCTTACAAAACCAGGAAGGAGTGGAGTGTTTGCGAAAATGGCAAGAGCCGGATTTGGCTGTTTTCTTTAGAACCTAGTCCTAGTGCATCAGTGCCCACACCACCATGGAGCCCAGGTTGGTGTTGGCATATGGTTTGCGCAGGCATCTGCCCCGGTGCTGTGAAGTCTCTGAAGCTCCTCATTCCACAACAGGACACGCCTCTCCTTGTACCCACTCCATAGCCCCCACCTATCTCCTCATTCCTCTTCTCTACCACACCCTACCCCACCACCCCACCTCATGAGTTTTCCATCTCGTGAGTTTTGTTTGTTTTTGCTTTTGTCTACCACCCTCCTCCCCCCGCCCCCCCCCCCAACCTCTGGATGGGTTTCTGTTTGTTTCCAGACTGTCTGGGGTTGTGCACCATGGAGACAGTGTCCTGGGCTGCCTCTTTGCCCTGATCTGGTTAGAATAAGCCCCCCTCTCTTTTGCGTGCCTCTCCAACCTGACATTTAGAACATCCAAAACAAATCACGACATTCCGAAGCAAGATAGAAACCACCGTCTCCACCCCTGCCGCCTGGCGCTCCCGTCTACCTGGAAAAGGTTTCTTGAAAATTTCCAGTGTTTCACTGCAGAGTCCGCATGCTAAGTCAGGAAACAACAGCTATGGACCAAGTCTTTCCTGCCAGCCATAGGACTGGCCTCTACTTGTATGGGCAACATGGCGGTGAAGTCGATGCTTCTTGTACTAAAATGCAACAGAAAGCTGCTTGCAAGTAGAACTGGGATCATCATTGTGTCCCCAAGTTAGTAAGATGTGGTAGGCCCTCAAGAAAGGTTTGTTGAGTGAAAAAAAAAAATGAATAAAAGGAAGCAAAATGTTTCCTAGCCACAGGAGATGGTGATGGTGGGATGGCCCCACAAGTGAGACTTGAAGTGTGGGACCAGCGTGTGAGGGTGTCTGACAGTTGGGTCCTTATTGTGTGACCTCGGAAGTCCTATTTGCTTTCACCACAAGTGGGGTGGGCAGCAGGGAGCTCCCCGTTTTGTTTAAAATACAAATGCTCCTGAGAGAGGTGAAGTCAAGGGTTTGATATTTATTCAAACACACATGTAAATGGCTGAGAGCAAAGCCTTTCCCCAACACAGGCTTTAAAACTGAGTTGGGGGGAGAAGTGATGAAAGAGATTACTGGAGATTTAAGACAAGGGGAGCTCTGATCTGGTAATGGGGTGAAGCCATTGCAGTCAAATTTCATTCTGCCTCCATCTGGCCAAGCAAGGACCCTAGAGAAAAGCACATTTGATGCAGCCAGGCCCTTCCAGCCAGCACTGGTGACATTGGTCAGGAAGGAGGTGACAAGGCCAGTCCAAATTAGTTGGGAGTATGAATTGCAGACTTTCTCCCCTGCTACCACATAAACTTTTTTTTTTTAACTTTATTCTTTTAAAAAAGAATACTAATGGCTTAAATTTTAGATCACATTAGTAGATGAAGCTCAAACAAGTAAAGATGCATTTAAAAAAATCTTTTGGATTTATTTGCTTAAAATTTTATTTATTTGAAAGGCAGAGTTCTAGAGAGAGGAAAAGATGAAAGAGATCTCATATCCAATGGTTCACCCCCCAAATGACTGCAGTGACCAGGGCTGGGCTAGTCTGAAGCCAGGAGTCAGGAGTTTGCTCTGGATCTCCAACAAGGGTGCAGGGGTCTCAGCAGACACCCGAGCCACCGAGAATTCATAGCATTTGACCCAGAAAGTCTAGCTGTGTGAGCGTTTGTACTCAGGCCATCTGAGTTCCCTGGCCCTGGAATAGCAGTGTGGGAGGTGGAGGTGGTTGAA